TCACAAGGGCAGAGCAGAAGAGTATCAATTAATGCTCAGGGGCAAAACAGGGCAACTTGGGAGGACGGCCCGGAGTCCATACGGACAGGCTGGGCACTTCAGTGGGGCGACCCGGAGGTCGTTTCTGCAGATGTAGAGAGGGAGGATGGCGAAGACGGGGACTAGGGAATAGGAGTTGGCCGGAACGCTGACTGGGAACCACAATCAGAAGTCAGCTGGGCCGCCGACAGGACACAATGAGCAGGATTCAGTTGGACCACTAACTGGGAATCAGGAACAGGAGTCGGCTGGACTGCCAACAGAACATGAAGAGCAGGAGTCGGCTAGACCACTGACTGGGAACCAGTATCAGAAGACAGCTATCGGCGACAGGACACAAGGAGCAGGATTTGGCCGGACTGCCGACTGGGAATCAGGAATAGGAGGTGGCCGGACCGCTGACTGGGATACAGAATCAGAAGTCGGCTGGGCTGCCAACAGGACACAAAGAGCAGGAGTCGGCCGGGCTGCTGAGTGGGAATCAGGAACAGGAGTCGGCCAGACCGCCAATTGGGAACCAGAATCAGGAGTCAGCTGGTCTGCCGATTGGGAACCAGAATCAGGAGTCAGCTGGTCTGCCGATTGGGAACCAGAATCAGGAGTCAGCTGGTCCGCTGATGGGACACGAGGAGCAAGAGTGACGTTGCCCAGAACCAACAACTCAGGAACAAGGGAGGAGTCGACCGGGACCCCCAACGCTGAAACAGCTGAAGTGTCAGCCAAGATGGTTGACCCATGAATTGAGTCAGGAGCCAAAGAGATGTCAACTAGGAAGTGCAACGCTGGAACAGCTGATGCGTTAGCCAGGGTGGTTGGTGAAGGCTCATGGTCACTGGAGAGCTGAGGCTCTGGATAGCCGGGTAGTTTGGACTTGGGCTGGAAGCTGGAGACGCAGGACTGGTAGCTGGAGTTCTGGGGCAGAGGCTGCTTGGGGAACCGGCATCTCCGTGACCTGTGTTTCTTTCCGGGGGCTCCAACCCCTAGATACCTCCCAGGAAAGGCTAGCCAGGTTCCCCAAAAAGGAACCGGCTCAGGGTCCTCCAGATCCGAATCTGACTGCTGGTCAGTCAGCAAGCAAAAGGGCCTGACGATGGGGGTGCTGGCTGGGAGGATTGAGGTTGACCGTGAGGCAAGCTTTAAAAAGCCATGAAACTGGCATAGGCTGCTGGGACCATTTTCTGGTCAGTTCGTACTGTCACGATTAAGGTAAGCTGGACCCAAATGCATGCCAAACACAAGGGTGTTGGAGGAATGAAATTATTTTACTTTCAAAAAAACACAAGGAAACTGTACAGGTAGCACGGAGTAACACTGGGGAGTTAAACAGAAAGCCAAAGCTCGAGGAAACAGGGACTTCACACAGGAACCAGAAGCACGAGGAAGACAAGGACTTAACCGGTAACTCATGGGACAATAACAGACGAACTGACAAAGACAAAGGGGAGGACAGATACTAAATAGACACAAGGGAGGCAAGGGTGATTGAACACAGGTGAAACACATTAGGGTGGGGCAGACAATCAACAAGCAGGGAAACAGGACAAAGACAGGAAGTACAAACATCGAGACACACAAGGAAACAAACTACAAAAAAACAGGAAATCAAACAGCACAACACAACAAAATCTCAAACATAAAGTTTCCGCCATGGCAACCTATGACAGTTATCCTGACAAAAAGCTAGCACAGAGCATAGAATGTAGCAAAATGACACTTTACAACTAAAGTGTATACTATATACAATATATGTAGATCTGAAAAGAAGGAATGCACTATGTTATTTTTATGTGAATAACAGTGGTTATTATACTGTTTGTGTAGCAGTTATGCTATAGGAACAACCTTTTTCTCTCTGTCTTTTCCATAGGGCAACGTTGAGTCCAGGATCACGCATGACAGCAAAAAGGCAGCAGAATGGTTGGAAATGAACCAGCATTTCTTGCCAAGGTGAAGTTGGCCGATGCAATCCAGATAAGAGAAGAGGAACTGGCAGAGGCTGAACAGCAGTATGCCAAACTTTGGGTTGAGGAAGAAAGTGCAAACCTGGATGAACAAGAAAGGGAAGCCATCTTGGAGCCATTCAAATTTCAGTTTTCCAATATGGAAGACGTGGAAGTTTTGTGAGGAGATGAGTAATGGACAAGGATACTTGACATACTGTGAATGTCAAATAGAGGAGTAATGGCTTTGTAGGGCACTACTATTGTTGTTGCTGTGCTTAATAAAGGGCAACAGAATGTTTGATAAGTTTGTCATTTTATGTGTGGTTTTTGTTATGAAGCACTTAATAATTTAATTATACCATGAAGAACACAGGTAAGTTAGTGCATTTTAAAATAATAAATACAGTTTTAACTATTCCTGTCTTCCACATATTCTGACACTGTTATATATTTAAACATAGTTAAAATGTTTATTGGCCTGTATGTCTTCCAAAAGCCCTTCAGGTGTAAAGTATATATAACAGTTACGTGGAACTGTCTAAAGTAATAACACACAATAAAATGTATTTAACATGATAAATATTGTACATAAAATGTTGAGGCTATGACATAAAGCAGAGGCTAATTATGTTAATTATTATTATAATATATATAATATAATAATTATGTTAATATGGTTTTAATTAACTACTCCTGCCCTCCACATGTGTGCTGAGATTGCTTGCATAGTTAAAATATTTATTAGCCTCATCTCTTCAAAAGATCTTCAGGTTTACAGTACAAGTAGACACATTAGCGTCTTGTGTCACATGAAATACATTTTCCAGATGTTTGCACTAAAATACTGTTATACTCTTCAAAGGCAGATTATGTTTGAGAAGTGTGTTTGTTTTTTTTAGAAAGATAGGAAGAGAACAAGAAAGAGATCAACAAGCTTAATGTTTTTCTATGAACTGATGTCACTAGGCTATATGGACAGAGTTTATGCCCTATTTAGACAGAAATACAGTGCCTATAAAAAGTATTCACCCCCTTGGATGTTTTCCCCTTTTATTACTTTTATATAATGGAATCATGGTCAATATAATTTGTAAAAAAAACAAAAAACTCTTTCATGTAAAAGTAAAAACAGATTTCTACAAAGTAAAGTCAATTAATTAAAAAATATATAATGTAAAATAAGTGATTGCGTAAATATTCACCCCCTTTAAAGTGACTGACCTAATTCAACAGACGTCCAGCCAATTGGTGCTAGTAGTCTCACAATTTGTGATTGTACTATAAAGACACCTGTGTCTAGATGGTCCAGTCACTGGTTAACCAGTATTCCTGGCTACAATTACCCCATGAAGACAAAAGAACACTCCAAGCAACTCCAAGAAAAGGTTATTGAAAAGTATAAGTCGTTGAACATCCCCTGGAGTTCAGTTAAATCCATCATTATGAAATGGAAGGAATGTGGCCGTCCTCACAAACTGAGTGACTGTGCAAGAAGGAGACCAGTGAGGGAGGCCACCAAGACACCTATGACTACTCTGAAGGTGTATACAGCAAGACAGTGACCCAAAGCAAACAGTGAAAGCTACACAGAAATGGTTTAAAGACAACAAGGTTAATGTTCTGGAGTGGCCAAGTCAAAGCCCAGACCTCAATCCAATTTGTGACTGGATTTGGAAAGAGCTGTTCACGCCCAATCCCCATGCAACCTGACAGAGCTTGAGCAGTTTTGCAAAGAAGAATTAAGTAAAATTGCAGTGTCCAGATGTGCAAGCCTGATTGAGACCTATCCACACAGACTCAATGCTGTAATTGTGGCCAAAGGTGCATCTACTAAATACTGACTTGAAGGGGGAAAATATTTATACAATCACTTATTTTACATTATATATTTTTAATTAATTGACATTAGTTTGTAGAAATCTGTTTTCACTTTGACATTAAAGAGTTTTTATTTTTGTAAATTCTTGCCAAAAAAGCCAAATTGTATTGGCCATGATTCCATTTATAAAGGCTATCAAAGGGGAAAACATCCAAGGGTATACTTTTTATAGGCACTGTAATGTAATGCATGTGTGAATAAGATATGGTTGTTGGCAGACTTGAATCAGTATGTTGCTACACTGATATAGATACCCCTGTTACGTGCTACATAGATGGAATAGGCAAAATCAACAAGTGCGCTACATTTAAGAAATGAATGGTTTTCAATTTACAATGTTGATTAATTAAATATAAATCAACAACAAAAGCATTTCCAGTGTTTACATGATTTTTCTTGCATGCACTTTCCGTCCTGACACTGGAGCCGGCATGAGATTAGAGCCTGCACCGGATGCGACTCCACACTGGAGTTCTGCAGGCAGACTGTCTTGTTAACCCCTGGGCATGGTGTCTAGCAACTGCTTGGATGCGCGGCTGGTTTAACTGCCCTGCTGCAAGCCCCCCCCGAGGTGCGCAGGAGCACCAGAGTCCGATTAACGCTGCTTGTAGCTTTAATTTATTTTGGATCTAACATGTAGGCAGTTTCTGATTACAGCATAATTTAGGTGTAGCCTGTAGTGTCTAAATAGGGTATAACTTTTTATGTTTACTGTCTAATAAAGAACATAGTATTTATAGTTTTATCTAATTTGATACAAAGTATGGCTTATTACGTCTTATAAGTGTATTGTAAAAAAAAAAAAAAAAAAGTGCGATGAAAATGTTAAAAATCTTTTTTAGAATTAGTCAATGGAAGGCAACTAACTCTGAATTGACATGGTCTTATTTGCTGTATCCAGTGGAGAAAAGACAAAAATTCACTGTATCTGTGTTTTTAAAGTTTTAAACTTTCCTCACCTGGAGAAATTACAAGTCTAGAATTATATTTTGGATTTGATTTACCCTTCAAATAAAGACAAGCATCCATAGCAGTGACAGTATATCATCCCAGCTTCACTGGACTCGCTTGGTGAAACAAAACAACTGTAAGAGGATGTGATGAAAACTCACAGTCTTTCATTTTTTATCCACCATCAGGTTACACAAAGCAGAGAGGAGATATTGTGAGCTGGAGAAAGAAATGGAGAGATTAAAGGGGGAGATGCAAGACTGGAGAGCCCCCAAGGAATCAGGCAAGTGATCACCACCCCTGCTTCTTCATCACACCATTATCTTGATCATCATTATAATTATCTCTCTACAGCATGGACCGTTCTCTTTCACCTTATATACTATGCAGTTATACAATAGCATCATAGGAACCAGTAACATTTTGACACTTTGAAGACCACAGCCATGGAATGACTTTCATTATATGACAAAGGTTTATTTTAATATTATTGTATACCTAAACACAGGTGTGTTTTTACTGTAACAACTAGCAAATACCCATGCAACTGCTGATGAAAAGCAATGAAATCAAAGCCATGTTCAAAGCCACGGTGGTGACTTCAGCCAAGTTGGTTAAAAACAAGTCAGGTATTTCAGTAACATTACCTAATCACACAGACATCCACACAACCCAAGTACTTATTCACAGTCCTGAGTCTCTGAAGAACAACATAAATGTGAGGTGGAATGAGTTCCAGACAACATGAGCCACTCAAAATAAACACAGTGGTGCACAGTCCCAGCAGCATCTGCTTATGCTGGAGGCCTCAGTTAGAGCATTGTGATAAATATCCACTCTAGGAATAGCCTTGGTATGCAGGAACTTGGATTCCCGTTTCCATAAATCAATACAGTGTCATGCACTTTTTAAAGATGCAGTGATGAGGGTCTTCCTGCTGCTCGACTGACAGATGAAGGTGTTATGAATAATGGCCACAACTCCTGCATGTGGACAAAAAGCATGTACTGTACCTTAATCCATGTGTGATGATGATAAGCCACAGTCAGTGGCTCGATTTTCTCTTAAAGGACCAGTTTGTGGGATTTAGTAGCATCTAGTGGTGAGGTTACAGATTGCAACCAACTCCCTATCCAAGCATGTAGGAGAACCAACAGCAGTCAAATAACATAATCACACAAAAGGACCTCTTGGGACCAGTGGTCTCTTGGTTTGTCTGTTCTGGGCTACTGTAGAAATATCTAAATTGTCAAAAACACAATATTTGATTTCAGGTGATTATACACAAAGTAAAATATAATTTTGAATATTACATTCCATTTCTGCCAATAGATCCCCTTAAATCCTACACACTGGTCCTTTAATTCATTGCTTTTCTCCATCACTCCTTCTCTCCCTCCTTTTCACATTGTCATCCCTTTCACCACCACAAATATGTCATGTTTTTAGTTCTGTTCTGTTTCTTTGTCTTGATACAAACCTGACAAGCAAGCAGTGCATCCTAAGACTTAATGCCTGCAACCGCGCTGCTGTACATCATGGCCTCTGATGTGCCTCTCTCTTCTCCAGTCACAGAGCTGAGTATCTGCCCAGCCACTCTTGCTCTGCCTGCCCACTGTGTGGACATACCAGGGGATGTAAGCCTATCTTTAATCCACTTTTATGTTCTTTTTCTCTGCCTGACATGGAAAACAAGAACAATTTTTAAACAGCATGTAACCTGTGTAATTGTCTAATTCATTTGGAAAGGCAGCTTTTGGTAAGTAACTAAGACCAGGCTTGGTAATGGGCAAACAGAGATTGTCTACTTGACATGAAATGTGTACAGCTGGCCAAATTCTTAAGTTTCTACATAGCTGTTCATTGGTCTAACTTGCATGTGTTACAGAGGAGGAAAGCACTCCCAGCCTGCCATTACCCACTGGTGATTCCTCTTCATCGTCACCTGCTCCTGTTCCACAGGGTACAGAAAAAATCCAAACTATAATCACTCTTTTAGGATTCAACAGATGTAGTGTTTTAAATGCAATACTGACATTGATATGTTTTTTAGTTGCAGGTGGAAGATTACTTTATTACAGAGGAAGCATTCAGTTTTTTTACTTACTTAAAGGGGCATTAGATAAGATCCCAAAATTGGTTGTTTTTAGCGACACTCGTGGCAGTGAAGTGACGTTCAGTCAGCCTTCTGTTGCTCGCTCTCGCAGCCGCGTTCGTACTCCTTGGGTGTGACCATGCATCGACCAAAACAGTGACACTGCATGTTGACAGATGAGGTAAGTGAAATTACACCATTTTTACTGTTTTTATGTAATATTTATTTGAAATTGTGTTTATAAACTGTAAAATTGTTATCTTGTTGGCTAGCACAATATAACATAGGGTTATTTATTACTAATCAATTCTTGATACATACATATGAGATGTTGGTGTTGTCTTGCTAGTCAGCTTTATCAATGGCTGTTTTGTGTAGCTTTCAGCATGACCCTTAGCAGTGTCAGCACAGCTGAATTTGCTGGATGCTAATGCTAACGTTTAGTGAACTAGTTACGCAGAATATTATAGCCTAATTATGGAGTTGTCACACTTCATCATTGACACGAGTTTCAAGTACAACTCTCGTTTAGCTGAATAGATGCACAAATGTTTCAGTGTAATACAATAGACTTACTTTCAACTAACTGTACAGAATTGGTCAAGTGGTTGTGGAGACAAGGACAATCATAAACTGACGTCAGTTATAACAGTCAATCAATCAAATGTTATTCATATAACAATTAATCCCAGGGGCTTTACAACCTTTGCAGGTGATGACAGAGTTATGTGTTCTGAAAAAACATCATGTAACATCGTCTAGTTTCTAGTAGTTTATTTTGTTGTAACCTATAAATACACTTACAAAGTTTATTTTTCTGTCACTGTCAATCAGCATACATCAAATAGGTTATGTATCACAGTATCATATGCCATTTTACACACTGTCACTGTTTTCTTTTCAGGTTTCCCTTTCTAAAGGCTATGCAGCATCTCTACTAGATGAAAGCAGAGACAGTGATGCTAGAGGGTGCAGGACAAGGACAAAGTAAAAAAGTTTGTTGTGAAAGAAAAGAAAAAGCATGTTCTGTGAAAATGTGTTCAGTGTTCCAGCATGAATTCATTACCTGCAAAGAAAAACTACCTTTTATTTTCTTATACAAGCTGCTTTATTTTATAAAACTAAAATGCACATATCTTTTTACAAGTTTTACAATGTCTGTGTATACATACATTTTTTTGTACTGTTTTACAAGTCTGTCAATAGATATCTATAATAAAGAACTGTCTAGAATTTTCTTGCTCCCACTGTCTGTCAAGTGACTGAAGTCATGTCCTTTATGTAGAGAGAGAGAGAGAGAGAAAAAAAAAACATGAATTAGAACCATCACAAGTGAACCAGTATGTAAATGCATTACATGACTATACATCAGCAGAAATCTATGAAGAATAAGCATGTGTGTCTTAATGGCAGAAAAAAGAAACCAGGTGGATGAAATCCAATGAAATTAAATTACAGTGGCATATAATCCACAGAATAGGAGATTGAGATTCTATATTGTTGATTGCCTCATAACATTAGCTGACAAAGAAATTTTCAAACAACAAGCCATCCATAGTGGTCTCAATTTCTGAGCCATTGTTACTATTGCTACAACGCTGTTGCCGCTGTATGGGAGCTTGCACTCGGGAGCAAGCACGCGTCATTTCTCCAGGAAAGCGCGACCCGAAGGTCTTCACAAAAGTAGCTGACCACGGCCAATAGAGACAACCTAGTAAGTAGGGGAATGTCTCATCTTTTGGCTTATGTAACAGCCTTTTCACTCATTGGCATTTAAAAGTGATTAGAAAAAGTTTTAAACACAGAAAAGTTGTCTAATGCCCCTTTAAGTAAAAGTAGCAATACCACAATTGTGTATGTATAATAAGCAAAAGGAGACGTATTAATTGTGCAGCACACTGACACCTCCTCTCAGTGTGTATTTAGATATTATTTGACTATTTAACTTATTGATTTTGTATATAAAATATTAATCTGGAAAGAAGAGTTCAACAACTGTCAAATATATCCAATAGATTAAAAAGTTAAATATTTCTTAAGTTAAATGGTAATGTTCAAGTGAAAAGTAAAAGATATTAACATAATGTACACCTTGTCATTATTACTTATGTCTGCCTTTAAAAACAATAACCTACATGTAAAACATCATATCTACACCATAAAGTAAAGAAGCAACAAAAATGACAGTTAGAAATATGCAGCCCTACACAGCCATAGTGCACCCACTAGGTGTTTTCAATTTGACTCCAACCACCTCCTGGAGATACAGCTGCTGTTGATAAATGTAGCACTTCATTCAACCCTAACCCTAACCTCAACATAACTGGGAACAGTTTGGTAGTATATAAAAATAATTTCAAGGAGACAGGGTTGGTGCACATTAAAGGTGAAGTATGTGATTCAGGAGAAAGCCTACTGTAAAAACTGGTAAATAAAACGCATTGGTATATAAGACGCAGTCTGTTTTTGAGGATCTACTGCCAGCAAAAAAAAGGTTTTCTATTAAAGACTGCTTCATTGAAATGTACTAGTAGGTTTCACCTGCTTTAATCCAGTTGATCATGCCCTTCTCCTCCATCCAGCCCTTTTCATGCACTAGTACGGAAACACCGGCTGATATGTGCTCTTTGGGGACCATTTTCCTTTTGAAGATGACCAGTGGCTGCAGTTTTGTGCCATCTGCACAACGTGACAGGACTATGGTGAAATGAGATTTCTCCTGTTTTATTAACAGTGTGATCGGGGGGCATATCAAAGCACGTGGAAACCTCATCCATGTTCCCTATCTGTTCAAGTCCATAGGAATTTTTTTTAATTATGAAGTGCTGGAATTTCATCATTTTCTCATTGTAGTCTCTTGGCATCTTTTGTGAAATGCGAGTTCCCTATGTGAAGTGACAGTCCCTCTCTCTCTACCTGCCAGCCACTGAAATTATTGCCTAAATCTCTTGCTCTCTCAATCGCTTTAATGTAAATCATGTTTTTTGACACAGGGATCAGACACTGTCTTTGCTCATCAATCCACTCAGAAACAATGTCCTCCACCCTTGGCCATAAACATTTTCTCCCTCTATTAGCTCTTTTGTTTTTCCATGGCTTCCAGCCGCACCGCCAGTCACAAAGCAATTTCTCACTGACATTAAACTGTCTTCCTGCGTTATGATTTCCATTGCATTCAGCAAAGTCAGCAACATGAAGTTTCTGCACAGCTGTATAGCTTTTTCTTGTAGTTTTCTCAATTTTTGCCATTTTGAGTTTGCAACAGTAGGCCCGCACATTGTAAATACTGTTAGCTGTAGCGTACAGCTAGTTTACCTCAGCCTAATCATTGTGTGGCTACTGGCGGCTAATGCACTGCAGTATGACGACATGTGGACAAGCTCTAGTTTATAGTGGCATCTGCTGGGTCTACATTGGATCCAAACCATAGACCTATAAATAAATAAAGCCGAATCCAGCACTCCATTTTTGTGACAAAAAATTGTATTACAGGTGCGTTTTATTGACCAGTTTTTATGGTATTCATATTACAAATACACCCCTCCCTTCAGCGCTTCAGATTTTGTGGAGGAAAACAGTGTAACATTTACATTTGTCAAGCATTTTCAATTAGTTATTTCTAAATTCAGGGTTTATGATTGATAAAACAGAAAAAGTTTTTTCTCAAGGTACTTGATCTTGGTAGTTTAGGTTATAACCGCTTCTTTCTATAAAGGAGTGTGTATCAACATTAGGCTTACATGAACTGAATTACTCACATTGTGGAAAATAATTGTCATAAGGAATTGTAAAAAAAATAGTGAGCAAAATAAAACAAATGATTAATTATTAAATTATGATGTAAAATAGTGAGACACTATGGAAGTCAGTCTGTTTTCTATATTTTATATCAGAAAATACAAATATTCCAAGACAGATAATTACAGAGAAATTGTAAGCTATCTCCTTTATCTAACCCCAGATTAATGAAATATTAAATTTATTTTGTACATTTTTTTTTCTTCTCAGGTTTATTGAGAGAATGACACTAGTTTAATTAATGGTAACGGTCCTTAATTTAGATTGGGAACTACATAATGCACCTTGCCTGTAAGGTAAGTGATGAGTCAGATTGGTGGAGTGAGTTGATGTGTGACGGTTGTTGCCTGTGTTCAGTTGTCCTACTGTCGATGTGGACATGCCCAGAGGAAGCTGTCCCCGTGTCATTTCTCTACTTATGTATAGTGAAGTAGATTACTTCAATAAGAATTAAGTTGTAGTTAATACTACGAGTAATCAGCGCTACAGTCGTATGCAATGTAAGTGTTATATTGTATAAAGTGAGATGTAGTTGTTGTACAATAATATACAACAGTACAGTACATTACAGCATATTATTATCATTAATAGCCATTAAATACACCAAGGTGTAATATGAGTATATTTTAATATTATAGCAGTGATATAATATGAGATTAATGATAGTAAATAGAATTTGTAGTATAAATAGTAGTTTAATATAGTAAATAAAAAATTGTAAACTAGAATCGTGGTTGTATGCCTCCATCAACCAGCAAAGTTGCAGGAAATATTGTGGGCCGTCAAAACATCCATCTGTTACCATGTGCCAGATGTGCCATCTCCCGCTCCCACTGCCCACTTACCTTGTCCTGTGCACGATCATTTTGCTGATTGTTTGTGTTACTCGATGTGAGCCACCTTGTGTATTTCCCATTTACAGATCCAGGGCTGTGTAGAAACACCAGATCACCAGATTTTTATCAGCACACATATGCAATGGACAGCTAGTGGACCGTGAAGAGATAGTCACTGAATTTGATTTAAAAAAAAAAGTGTATTGGATTAGAATCACTAACTTCACATTTAATATAACACCTTTATCATGGATTTTGGTGACCAGGCAATGCTCACAATAACTCCACCATACCAGCTAAGCAGAGGTATCATCAGACAAAGTAATTGAAAACACCAGAGCTAAGGTGTAGTGCTTTAATTAAAGTGAAACTGATTTTTGATGTTTTCTTGAACTCTTGATTTAAGCGAAAAGATACTGATACTGTACTGTTTGCACAATTATTTAGCTTCTTTTAATTTGACTATGTTTGTGCAAGAATTAATATTTCAAATTTTAGTCATCATGGTACAAAATCCCAAAAAGTTTCTTTAGATCATGGGATTCTCCACCATTATTATTATTTCAGTTCTAGTGTTCCTACAAATGTATCAAATCAAATGGCCAAAATCGACCTGGTATATAATTTCATTTAATTTTAATCTATTTTTGTGTTTCCCTCTAGGTTCGACTTCCACAGGTGACGAGTGAGTTATACCTACTGGTGTGTGCAGAATGGGGGAAGGTCCAAGCCTGGGGGAGACACTGTCATACTGACCTCACATGAGTGCATGTTGAGGTGGCACATGCTGACTTCTCCCATTATTGCAGCACAGAGGACTGAGCTACTGCTCTATGCGCATTCAATGCCCCACTCATCAGCCTCCTAAACTCATCCTAAAAAGAAAGGAAAAGCAAAACAAAAATGCTTCTGATGAGAACGTCTTGAGTATCTTGTTACTGCGGGAGCATTTCAAAATGAATTGATACGAGAAGCAATTCAGAATGCTGAGAGCTAATGAGGAAGAAATGATGAGGATATTTTCTGACCGGCCTTGCCTGCTTACCAGACTGAAAGTTACAGTAGAGCTGCAATGAGTTCAGAGCACACAGAGAAAAATACTCGTCTTACTTTAACCTGTTACAAGAATGATGTACCTAAAGTAAGAAGGTTCAACCCTGGTGTCCTTTGAAATGTAACTTTTACTTTTGTAAATTTTACAACCAAAAAGTCGGAATGAGTAGAAGAGTTACTGAACCAAAGCTACATAAACACGATAGAGATGTATGTGTTCTATGGAAATCCTCAAATGCTATGCACAGATAGAATCAGAAGACTTACAACTTGAGTGTGTAATTTGTCAATGTTGTATGAAGACTGAGTCTGGTGCAGACCGAAACACACCTAACACACCGTTCACTCCATGAGTAAAGTATCTTCAGACATTTTAGACTATGATGGTTTCAGAAAGGACTCAAACACCTTCACTTTTTGCAAACTTTATTGTGATCTAGACTGGGTTTTATTTAATTGATGCAATTGCTAATTTTTCCCCTTACTGCACTCAATAACCCACAGTCTAGGATAGACTGGGAATTGACTTATTGCATAGAAGCATCACATGCCTGTAGCGTACATGCCTGTCCTGGCATCAGTCACAAGCCATTAAAGAAGTTCGTTGTAAGGACATGCAGAGTTATGGACCCAAAATTGACACTTTTTTACTCTTCCCACCATCAAATTATGAAATTGATAGGAAACAGAGACAAAGGAACCTTCTCTCACAAACAGACCATGCTTTTAGCATGTCAGAGAGACACTCAACCAGACCAAGGGGTCAAAGGGTCAGCTCCAGAGGATCAACAAATGGACACCAGTCAAACTGGAAAGCATAGGCAAAATCTCCAGTTTTTAATAATAAGACTCTGCCTATTGATATTTGATTGTTTGTTATATCAGAAAAGTAACAACAAAAGAACTGATTATCACAAAGATGTGAATCCTGGCCTCTCTGTGCCATGCATGAAAACACACACACAGTTCCTCACTGTTCACACCTGGGGATGACCCTCCCCCAGCGACCTCATTGACCAGTCAGTGTTGGTCAGTGTGTGACATGTGACCTCCCAGGGTGTCACCAAACAAAACCAGATCTCCTTCTTTGTTCTCGTTCTCTTCTCTTTTTGGCTTGCTCTGGATAGAAACTCCTGCTCTCCCCTCTCGGCTCTTCAAGGAGCACCAAGGCCCCAGCCCAGGTCAACTCTGCTACCTGAAACAACAGCTCTCTTGCCAGCCTGCTCACAGCAGACTGCAACTCTCTTCTCCTCAACAGCAGCGACCTGCTTAGGATAAACTGACTGTGTTTATCCTAAGCAGTCTCACAATTGTTGTGTCTCACAATTTTTTATATGGATTCAGTGAATCATACAGTTTTTTTATTATCACTGATTATATGTACCTGATTTGATGTTAATAAATGCTTGATCGTTTCTAAAGAAATGACTCCTCTGAATTCATTATAATTCATTATATGCACAATATCTGCTGATGGAAAAACTTCACAAATCAAAGAGCAGCTAAACCAATTTATTTGAGGGTGTGTTACTCCATTTGTGGTGTGTTATTACCATTGTAAAATTATGTGCACTGAAGTAAAACAAGGCTGCCTAACATCTAATATTTAGATTGAAACTATACGTTTTTACAAAGAAGCAAAACGTACTGGTGTATTCCTCTTGACCGTAAAGGACCATAGTCAGCACGATATATGTTGGAGGCATTCCAGAGGGAGTACACATTGAGGCAGAGCGGCTCCAACCCAGGACGGCCTACCATACATAATTTTTCCTCGATCTCCTGTAGCCGTCTGGTAACCTACAGTGAATTACAAATGGTAAACTCTATGGTTTATTATAAATATAACGTAATCAAAACAAATTACTGATTAGTTTGTCTAGTGAGAATGCTACCTGTGCTATCTCCTAGCAGCAGATATTCTCAGCTTCTGTGGGCATGGTTGAACAGTTTCCACAGGAGCACCTATTCAAAATATATAAAATATAAAGTTTATGAAATTCAAAACTGGCAGACAGTGGAGCTGAGGTGGGTAAGAAGTAAGCTTGGCTAAATATCAAGCACATATAACAGGTAATTTATAACATGTCCCTTGTTGCATATAATGTGGAGTTGAAACAGTGTAGTGTAGAAAATACTGCACAGCCTCGTCTTTGACTAAAGATTAATGTTGGTGACAGACATGTTTATGCTGAATTACAGTGGTGTAAGTTCATTGTAATACACAAAATAAATTAGTACATAAAGGAAGATGTTATGATGAGCATCTCTGCTCAAAACATGCATACAACACCTGTAGCAGTCCTCGGACAACAAACATCTGTTCACACTGTAAAAGTATATCTAACGAGGCATGACATAACTACATTAACAATTCACAATAGTGTTTATTTACCAAAAGGGCTCCAAGTAATGACGAGACAGTAACAGTTAGCATTAGCTACCTAGCTACATGTTAGTTACTGGGTGCCAGCACACATCAACAAACTGAAAATGTAAAGTCAAAATACACAAAATGGGTTACCAACCATTCAGAAATATCCTGCTGTAGTTGTAGAGTTTGAACCTCTTCAGGAGCCTCTCCTTACGGGTCAGACTCTGGATAAAATTCGTATGGTTGAACCAGGTCGCTGTGAATATTAGATCATGGTGCGAGAAGCCCAAGCCACATCCCCTTCCGGAGACGGGTATGGTCAGGCACAGCTCATTTGCATTTAAAGCTACAGACACAGAAACAGCCTGTTCTGAGCAGGGCTGAAACAGAGGGGTTTTACAGGCATGCTGAAATACAGGATCGGAGTGGATTTTTAAGCAAGAAACTTCAAAGATAAGTTTTGGGGACCTCTGAGACTTATTTAAACTGGCTAAAGAGGAGTATAATATGTGCCCTTTAATCTCCGACGGGAAACTGTCACAGACAGGTGGGTCGCCAAAACCGTCAAAAAATATCCTTGTTTGTGTTTGTCATTCAGATCAAGATAATCCTCCCCACTAGCCGATATGTAAAACTCCAGACGACCTGTGTCTGTTATTGCCCAAACCGGAGGGATTTCAACAAATGTGGATTTTTCAATAGACGTCTGAGTGTATGGAACGGTAAACAGTTCCAGCTCGGTCTTTAGACATTCTTCTGACTGATTATGAATGAGAGCCATGGTTATTTGAAAAAAAACCCAACAACTTTGGTTTAGAATATGTCTTTTGACAAAATCCCGGAGTGCCTGATAAGTGGTCTGCCTCCTTTGACAGCCGACTTCTTTTTGACACCTTTGCTTGTTTTGGCAGCTGTTTTACGTTTGTTTTGACAAAATAAAAGGGAATGGAGCTACTCATGTCTTTTATTACTGGTTACATTTATTCACATATCAAATATTGACATCCAAAACTCTCATTTAGTCCCAAAAGTATCTGAAACTCAGATCAGACGTCACATCAGTGTCAATGTTTCTGTCAAAAATCTCAGTCATGATTCAGTCAAACCTGAACACACAGACATGATAACCCCAATGCTAATAAACGTCCATAAATCTGCTTAACAATCTTTAGTTGTGTTTCGAGTAGATTTACTGAGTGAAGTTGTGTTGCTTAAAGTTTGTACTGTGCATCCATGGTTCATACAGACTATATTATCAGACCTTTAGGGTGAGCTATGCTCTAAAACTGTGGGTGAGCTACTGATAGTTCACGGGATTCCTGTTGGAGACCCCTGCCCTAAATAAAAAATAACTGAAACAAAAACAATAGGATTCTACCCCTTCAGGGTTAGAACCCTAATAAAAAAATGTTTATTTGAATTTGAAAATTTTATCTACTATACCTGAAGATATCAATTGCCACTTCTCAAAATAAGAGGAGCAGGTAATTTTTCTATTGCTTTCTCTTCTTTCTATGGGTTAGATTATTATTATTGTCAGGGTTAGACTGCGTCTATCCACAATTCCTTGTTTTTTCTCCTGTCTCTTTATACTGGTGCAGCCATTTGTGTTTTTAAAGGCTGTATGTTTGCTTTTTTGAGAAAGAAAATAAATGAATATTGTTAAAAATCCATTGTCCAAAAATTAAAAACATCACAAATATTTTTGTTATCCTTCATTTTTATTTTAATAAAAGGCATAGAGCAAGAAAACATAACACTATGATTAATACAAGTGGAAACAGAAACTAAAGAATGAGCACAAAGGGTATAAGCTCAAGAATACATACATATGTGCTACATAGTTGATAACCCAATTAAAACTAATTAACTTCATTTTTATTTTATGAATGGCTTATGATACATTTAAGATTTAGAATGAGCACTACATATAATATGCAGGGTTTGAGTACAACAAATAGGGATTGAGTTTACGGTCGGCTGATGTAAAGCTGCTGTTCTCATGGGCCTGACGGCGGTAGTACCTGCGCAGGGCGGGACTGCCAGGGTGGCACTGTCTCACATGGAGGAAATACTCATCAGGGCGGCTTGAGGTGTAACCACAATCCTCACACACAAAGATCTTAGACCGTCGCTGGCGGTAGGCATACTGTTGGTGAATGCCATGAATCTTCCTCATATGGGACTCCAGAGAGCAACGCTGTGTGAAGGCTTTCTCACACAGCTCACATTTGTAGGGACGGATACCTGCAGCAGGGGGAGACAAAAGATGTTTTTTTCCTGTGTGTTTGTGTTGATGCACTTGTACATTCAGATTGGCACAAGTGGCTTCGCAATTGTGTGACACACATTGCCAAAACTTTTTCGTTTTAATTCTGAATTCCACCAACAATTTTATGTTTTGAGCTGATTTTTGCTATAAGCAGTGGTGAAAAGTAGCTTTACTACTCTACTTTAATAATTAGTGCCTCAAAAATGTCCTTGAGTTTTTCTCCACTACATTTATTTTACAGGTATAGTTCAAGTTAATTTGCAGATTAAATTAACCTGGTAGTATTTAAAAAATGAAGGCTCTTTTTTCATTGTGTGTGTGTGTGTGTGTGTGTGTGTGTGTGTGTGTGTGTGTGTGTGTGTGTGTGTGAGAGAGAGAGACAGGGTGTTCATTCCTGACCAGTGTGTGTTCGCATATGCCTTTTGAGGTCGAAGGTATCGTTAAATCCTTTTCCACAGAATCGACAAGGATGTCTTTTCACCAGGCTGTGGCACTTGAGGTGGCGGGTCAACATGCGCTGCAGAGGGAATATCTTGTGGCACACTGAGCACACAAAATCGCCCGAGCCTGGGGAAGTCCGGGGATGGGGCTGGTAAGGAGAAATGATATGGTGTTATAACTGAAAACTATTCACAAATAAATGTCAAATTGGTTTGATGAATATTAAAATTATGTGAATCATATGTTACAGCCTTCACAGTCACCAGATCTCTGCAAAACGCACATACACTTGTGCTTGTTATGCACAGGTAGAGTGTGCTGAAAGTGTTCTTCAAATGTTTGGATAAGTCAAGTGGAACATCAGAATACAGCCTCAGAAGGCGCATTAGCTGTGACATGTGTCTTGCACAATGTTAAGAGACATTCATGACGCACAAGGTTCTACAGAGAATTGTTCTTTCTTACTACCCAAAAAATAACCTAAATTTCCACAGTTCCATCACAAGATTTATTCACACTTCTCCTCATATCGGCCTGTTATAAAATATGTCTAACATTGTGATGCGTTGTCTAATGCACGGATTCACTCATCCCTTCCTTGCCCCTCAGCCACATAAATAAGGTGGCAAAAAATTTTTTTTGGAGAGCATACATGGAAAGGTTTTAGACACAATGTTGAGACAGTGACATGAAAAGCAGCGCTGTGGATAGTGTGCAGTGAAGATTTTGTTGTCTGACTTACTTTGATGTGTTCAATAATTATTTGACTTAAATAAAATTGCACCAAAAGGCCTTAAAATATATAAGCTATAATAAGATATATAATTTTGTTCATAAAGTGTGTTCAAAATACATTTAAAAAGTAAGATAAAGATGATAAAAATGTTGTAAAACCATGTTTAAAAAAATTTC